CGCGTGTCCGGACCCGGGGCTACAAACGCCACAGTGCGCCCTCCTCACCCAGCGGGGGGTGCTGCATACACGTAACGTGGGTGGCGAGAGAAACTTCGCCTCCGTCGCAGTAGTCGTGAATGTCGCTGCCCCCAGGGGAGGTGGTGATGGCGGTCGTGCCTGGGACTTGCATGGATGGTGGCGATGGCGGCCCTGTACATGACGGCCTTGGACGTGGCGATGAGACTGCCGAGCTCAGGACTACTACTGGAAATCAGAGGAGGCCTGATGGCTTAGTGGGCCCCGGAAACAGCAGGGCCGTCTTTCACCGTTTCCGAAAACATGTCCCTTGAAAATGGAAGCGGAAAAAAAAGGCGACCGGAAACAGCAACAAAAACGGCTCCAGGAGTGGAACCGGAGCGGGAGCCCGTAGAAGAACGATGACGGAACCGGTAACAAAAACGGCGTCGGAACCGGCAACAAAAACTGCAAAACGGAACCGGTAACAAAAACGGCCCTGTCGTTTCCAGGGCCCACGAAGGTTCAGAAGCGGCACTCCCGAGACGCGCGCCCGCGGCGAACCAAGAGGCCCCAGGTGCAGCACGCTCTGGCGTGCGCGCGCCTGGGGCGGCCCTGCAAGGACGGCGCCATCGGGAGGCGCGCCCCCGACCGCAGCCGAAGGCACGCGCGTGGACCGCGGCGCCGGGAGTTCTCACTCGGCGGCGAGCGAGGGGGGGGGAAGTGAGAGGGAGAAGGCCATCTCTCGGCTACACGCAAGAGTGACCCTGGGCAAGAGTGACCTTTGGTGCGCGGTATTAGGGGGGCGCGGGGGAGCCAAACCCAAGCGCGCAGGCCCCTGATATCGCAGCGCGTTCGGCGATCCGGGGACCCATTTGGGTCCGCACGAAAAGTCACTCCGGCGAAAGGTCACTCTTACGTCTAGCCGAATCTCAGAAGGCCGCGGGGCTTTTCAGAAGCCCTCCGGCCTTCTGAGAAGCTTTCTGCGTGTCCCTGGGGGGGCCCAGAAAACTGCTCGGAAGGCTGGGGGGGTTTCCGAGCCTTCTGAGGAGACCTTCTTCCCTTCTCGTTTCCCCCCCTCGCTCGCCGTCGACTCACGCGACGCAAGTGACAAACGAGCTAGCGCTAGTTCAGGCATGTCCCCCTACATGCGGATTTTGGAAGGAAAATCAAAAATGGCCCAAACAAACAAGTTAAAAAAATAACAAATCGTCCCCAAAGTATGTTTTGAATGTTCCCCCTGCAGAGAACGGTCAAACATAGTTCTAAAACAAAAGATCGGCCCCAGACTCTCTTCTTTTCTTTTGTGTGTGGGTGACAATTTTTTCGAACGCTCCCCCTGCAGAGGGACACGCCCGACCTCAAGCCAGCGGCTGTGGAGCTGGCGGTGAGCAGCAAGCCGCGCCTGGGTGCCCTCGTGGACGCGGGGGCTCCAGGGGGGCCTTGCCGTCGTTCCCTGTGTCTTTGTCCGGTTTCGTGCGTGGTTTCTTCGCCAGATGGTCGAGGATGCTCCTCGATGGTCCTCGCCGAAAGAAACATGCACACGTCCGAGCGATGCCAAGTCCAGGGGGGCAGCACGCGGTGGGGGGCACCGAGCGGGCGGCGCCCCCCGGCGGGCTGGGCCCGGCGGAGCCGTGCGAGGAGGCGGCCCCGACTGCTCCTGGGCGCGGCGCGGCGAGCGTGGACTGCGAGGCGCGCGGCGCGCTCCTGGAGCGCGGCGGTGCTGGTGCGGGCCATCGCTCGGACGTCCATTCCCTGTGTTCTTTTCGGTTTCGTGCGTGGCTTTTTCGCCAAATGATGAAGGATGCTCCTGGATGGTCCTCGCCGAAGGAGAAAATGCACACGTCCGAGCGATGCCAAGGGTGCGGTCGGACCCAGGATGATGCTGCTCCCATCGTACTCACGGACCACATTCCAGGAACAAGTTCGAGCAACCAGATAGATATCGAAACAGTGTCGAACGAGTATCGCCCCGCAGGGCCCGGCGCGTGAAAGCCCTCGGGTTTCGGCACTTTCTTGGTGCTCGAAATTCTTTCGGATGGTCAAGGCTAAAGTAGGTGGGGACATCACAAACCCAGGACAGAAGGAGGACTGAATAACATCCTTCGGCTACACGCAAGAGTGACCCTGGGTAAGAGTTGACCTTGGGTGCCCAGCTTTTTGGGGACCGCGGGGGGCCAAACTCAAGCGCACAAACCGCTGCTACCGCTTCTCTTTCAGCCATCTGGGGGCCCATCGGTGCTGGCACCGAAGGTCACTCGGGCGCAAGGTCACTCTTGCGTCTGGTCGAAGCCTTCGAGAACATGAGACCCTCCGCTGGCCCAGACTGAACGTCCTTCGAGGATGCCCTCCCCCAGGATGCACCGGAGCATCCAAGGAGCACGAGGAGCATCAGGGTACACCTCCCCTCATCGATAGACAGACAGAGGCCCGATCAAACCTCAAAACGGTTGGCCCGCAAACGGGCGAGGCTGCAGCGCACTGGGGCTGAGCGTGCACGTGCGCATGGGAGAGCAAGCGTTGGGCCTCCGAGGAGGGGAGGGGAGAGGAGGGGAGAGGAGGAGGAGGGGGCGGTCCTCACGCGTGCATGCAATAATACTCGACGACTGCTCTGTCGTCACGCTCCCCGACCCGACTTCTTACCTTTCCATCTCGGTCCGACTGTGCGGAGACGGAGCTCACAGGAGGCCCGGTGACGGTCCGCAGCGAGGCAGTGGGCGAGGGCAGGGGGCGCAGGTCGGGAGGCGCCCGACCGCCCCGGAGGTGATCTCCCTGGTTCGCTGGCGGGTGGGGGTCTCGCCGTCGCTCGGACGTCCATTCCCCCTGTTTTTGTTTCGGTGTCGTGCGTGGTTTTTTCGCCAAATGATCAAGGAATCTCCTCGATGGTCCTCGCCGAAGGAAACATGCACACGTCCGAGCGATGCCAAGACATGCGAACCCTAATTACCCATATACCCCCACGATGTCTGAGGGGGAGGGCGGGCTTCACTTCGTTCGGGACTTCGTTCGGGAGCTCCCGAGCGGAGTCAGCCCCACCCTCCCCCTCAGAAATCGTGGGGGGTAGGATGAAGGGGCCCTGGGACACACAAATAAATAAACACATATAAAAGGATTCCCCACATTTTCCCATATTTTCTGGGTTTTCGTCCTCCCCCCCACTTCCCAACGTCTCCCATATTTTCTGGGGGATCGAAGATTACTTGTGGCTGTGTGCTTCTTTCCCCTCCTGATAGGGGTTGGGTTCGCGCATGGCCCCCCTTAGGGGGGGGGACGCGGCCCAGAACCGCCAGAGTTCCCTGGCAAGGTGGGGCACGCGCCTGGTTGCCTGGGGACACGGAGGGGAGGTGCCAGGTGCTGGGTGGAGAGCAGGAGTCGAGGCAAGCAGCGTCTTCCTCTGGCCATCACTCGGACGTCCATTCCCCGTGCCGTTTTCAGTTTCGTGCGTGGTTTTTTCGCTAAGTGATCAAGGATGCTCCTAGATTGTCCTCGCCGAAAGAACAATGAACACGTCCGAGCGATGCCAAGTCCTTCCTTTGTCGTTATTCCTCGCTTCGACCTCGTTCTGCCGCTGCTGCGGAACGGAACCGAAACGAGAGCGGTCCAGGGAATCGCCCAAACACAGTTTAGCTCCAGACCTGGTGGAGACAGGGAAACAGAGAGAGAGAGAGAAAACAAGATGGAGAGAGAGAGAGAGAGCGCGAGACAGAAACAGAAAGTAAAAAGAGAGGGAGAAGGGAGTGGAGGGGGCACTGGAAGAAAAAGAGGGATCATGGGGAGGAGGAGAGAACTGCAGATACAGGTGAGGGAAAGGGGGAGGAGGAGAGTGACGAGAGGGGGGGGCGAAATATGAGGAACAAGACAAACGGGAGGAGGAGGGGTCCAAAGAAGCAGTGCTCGTTTAAATCCCGAGTGGGGAACCTACATCTTGAGCATCTTCGCACGCCTGGTCTTCACAACGTCCAGTACGGCCCATGAGGCCCCCGAGACCGCTCCAAGACGGACCAAGCAGCCCACAAGAGGGCCCCACGACGGCCGAAGAGGGCCCCACGACGGCCCGAGAGGTGCCCAAACTGAGCCCAAGAGGGCCCCAGCTGGGCCCCAGAGCGGTGCCGCTCGCACGGACGTGCGGAACCCTCGGGCCCCATGGGGACCCCCGAGACTGGCCGTGCCGGCAGGCCCCAAGAAGCCTCCCAGGAGGCCTGACAAGAAGCCCGCCAGAAGCCCAGGGTTTGCCTTGGGGGATCGGCGGAGTGGCGTACAGACGGGGCGTTGACCTAAGGAACCCTAAATAAGGAACGAGGCCTCTTTTTCCAGAAAATCAACTTCGATTTCCTATCGAGAACATCGGAAAACCTGAGGCAAGCTGTGAAACACTTAGGAAACGCGGAGCCCCTCCCCAACGAAAAGGGTTCCTTCTTCAGGGCCCCGACTGTAAGCCTCTTGAGTGCGAGGAGAGGTGGGAAGGACGAGATGCAGAGAGGAGGGGGGATGGGCTAGGAATGCAGGCGGGGAGGGACTGCAAGGGAAGGAGGGGGGGAGCGGATGAGCGAAGGATGGGGGTGGGATGTGGAGGAAGAGAAGGGAGGAGGAAGCGGAGGTTGATGATCAGGAGGGGGGCACAGGAGCAGGAGGACGAGGAGGAGGAGGAGGAGGAGGAGGAAGAGAAGGAGGAGGAGGAGGAGGAGGAGGAGGAGCAAGAGGGAGCGAGAGAGAGAGAGAAAGAGACAGAGAGAGCGATGGAGGCGGAGCATCTGCGAGAGTGGCGGCCACGGCAGCGAGCGAGAGGAGCAGCGAAGGCCCGAGGAGGAATACCGGCTGCCCGCCTCTTGTCGAACACGACGGCCGCCGCCCGCCAACATGGCACCGAGCGCTGGCGAGGGCGGCGAGGGCCTCTCAAAACACAGGCGCCGGGGCGCCGGAAAGCACCGGTCGCGGCGCGAGCGCGGCGCGGGCAAACGCCCGAGCCCCGCGAGGCCGCCGGGTCGGGTCGGGGCGAGCCGCCCTCAGCGGGCGAAGCCGTCCTGGCCGTCCGCCTTCATCTCGGCGCCCGCGTACACGTAGCCGGGCACGGTCGCGTACACCACCTCGATTGGCGGCTCGACGGGATCCGCCTTCCGGGTCGCGAGCAATGGTATCAACAGCAAAAGCACGGAGGTCCGCGCGGATTTCGCGGATAAGCGCTGGACACCCCTCCCTGGCGCGTGGAGCGCGCCAGCCACGCGCCAGGGGCGGCTCCGGAAGCACCGCCAGGGGGCCCCGGCGCCGATCCGACAACTCTGCGCAGACCTCCGCACTTCTATCTTAAAGTCATCGTTTGTTCCCTGAACCTTCTGTACTTAAGGACCGAATCCCAGCAATGATTTCGAGCACCCAGGGAAATATCGAAACAGCGTCTGCCCGACACGCTGGCGAAGTGTCGAACGAGCATCGCCTCTCAGGGCCCGACACGCGAAAATCCTCCAGTTTCGGCACTTTTCTGGTACTCGAAATTCTTCCTTGTCATCATGGAGAAACAAAATGCCACATAAACATAAACTTTTGGAGGTCCGCGCGGATTTCTGGGATCCGTGCTGGACCCCCCTCCCTGGCGCGCGGGGCGCGCCACTGGCGGCTCCGGAGGCGCCGCCCGAAAGAGCCCAGCGCGGATCCAAGAAGTCCGCGCGGAACGCCCAGGAATCATGTTTATGGTGTTTTGTTTTTGTTCTCCGATTGGAACATCACAGCCCGGGCCTTCCTCCCCAACTTCTCCAGGGCCAGCGCGGTGGACTTCGAGAAGCGCGGGTCCGCCACCTCCCCGCGGCGCGCCGGACGGGTGGGGGGGCCTCGTCGCGGGGGGCGGCCTCGCTGAGCGGGCGGGTGAGCGGCGCACGGTCCTGCGCACAGGAGTTGGCGCGTGCCTTGCAACTTTCGGCGGCGAGCAATGGGGGGGAAGTGAGAAGGAGAAGGCCTTCTCAGGAGGCGAAGGGGCTTCTCAGAAACCCTCGCGCCTTCTGAGAAGTCTTTTGTATTCTGAGAGGCCTCCCAGATGAGGTCGGAGCGGATGGGATCGGGGAATCGCGCCGCAGCGCCGATGCATCAGCAATGCGTCGGCGGTGCATCGGCGACGTGTCGGCGATGCGCCGGCGATGCACCGTAATTGAACGTCGGCGGCGCATCGGCAACGCGCTGACGTCGGCGGTGCGTCGGCGCCGCTGGCGCGGAGAAAATCGGGCCCCATCGAGCCGCATCGCCGAGCATCGGCGATGCGACGCGATCCTCCGACCCCATCTACCCGGACCCCATCGGCTTGGAAAACTTCTCGGAAGGCCAGGGGACTCCCGAGCCCGCTGACAAGGCCCGCCCCTTCTCACTCCCCCCCCCCTCGCTCGCCTCCGCAAGTTGGCGCCGCGGCGCCGCACTGCGGTGCAGTCCAACGGGGGGCAGTCCGGGTGAAGTCAAGACGAAATCAAACCGAAGTGGGGGCAACAAGAAGGCCAGGGGGGCCGAGGAAGGGAACGTAGGCAAATTTCGGTAGTGATCAGAATGGATTGGCCCCCCTCGGAGGCCCCCGCGACATGTTATGGGAAGAATTACCGATTGAACGATCACCTAGGCGGACCCATTCAGACAAGGGAATGCGCGCCAGAAGCGAGCTGGCACGCTCGGACTGACCTTCCTGGCAACAGCGATGGCGGCGGAATGATCGCCGCATGCGAGCCGGCACCCTGGGATTGCACTTCCTGGCAAGATCCTGGGCAATGCGAGTTGCTCCAAAACACGACCCAGCACGTTCGGAGTGCGCTTCCTCCTGGCAGCGCCGCCAATTCGACGCGCGGCCCCTGCGAGCTGGCACGCTCGGCGCGCGCGCCCTGGCAGCAGCGCCGGCAACGCGACGCGCGCTGGAAACGAGCCGCACGTTCACGAGGCTAAATGACGGGCGCGGGCCCTGTAGCGGGAGGCTCCCATCGAACGCCAGGTTAAGAACTATCTAAATACAATCAACGTGAAGGGGCCCTGAGACACATATAAATATACAAATGACAGGATTCTTCCGATTGTCCCATATATTCTGGGGTTTCGTCTTCCCCCCCAACTTCCCATATTTTCTGCTATTTTCTGAAGAATTCGACGATTAATTTTGGCTGTGTTTTTGCCCTCTAGACAACGCTGGGAGCGAGCCCGCGCGTTTGGGCTGAGCTTGCCAGCGGCACTGTCGGCGCTGGGATGATCGCCGAGTGCGAGCCAACACTCTCTCGCCATCGCTCGGAAGTAGGCCTTGCGCGAGCCCGCAGGTTGCTACGACAACTCATCCCCCCTTCCTCTCTCCTCCCTCCTCGTGCTCCTCGTCGTTGCCAACGTCCTTCGTTCTCCTCCTCCTCCTCCTCCTTTTCTTTTTCCTCCTCACTGTTGTCCTGCTTTATGCTCCTCCTCTTCCTCCTCCTCCTCCTCCTCCTCCTCCTCCTCCTCCTCCAAGCGCCACGGCGAGTCGATGATACACGCCCGACGCCCGCACTGTGCTCCACACTGACCAGCAGAACCCGGAAGAACAACAGGGCAACGTAGGCGGAGGCGAGCACCGGGGGCTGCCTCCTGCTCCCGCTCCTCCTCTCCTCCTCTTTTTCTCTCCTCCTCGCCCGCCTCCGCCACATCCATCGCGGAGAGGGGGGAAGGGGGGGATCACCGAGGAGGCCTCTCGCTCCGCTCGTGTGTGGAACGCACATCGACTTGGGCCAAGCCTGAATCGAGTTAGGTCGGGCCTGCCCCCATACAGGTGGATTTGGGAAGAGAAGAAACATGTAAGAAAAATGCAACAATGATTTTAAAATAATAGGGAAATGTTGCCCATGCTTTTTTTGGATTATGCCTGAATGCTTATTCCCCCTGTAGAGGCACATGCCCGCCTTCAGAATCGAGTGATAATCAAACTGGAAGCGGACTGTGTTCGAACTACAAATGTCGGACGGATCTGTCAGATGGGCCCCGAGGAGGTCCCCCACAACGAAGAACATCTAATCGGCCGGTTCCCCCCCCAGGTGTTTTTGGGGTCACACCTCGGGCCTCCGGCGGCAACTCGGGGCGGCCCGGGGACCCCCAGAGCGCTCTCGGCGAGGCGCAGCCGCCGAAGGCATCCAGAGGCTGGACAACCGCCGAGCGCCGACGAAAACGCACGAAAACCTCGAACCTCGAACGTCTAATCTTCGAGCAGGGGATCGACTACAAGCTTGCTGCACCCAGACATCGGATTTTTTTCGTCGAATCCGTGGCCGACCCCCGTTCTCGATTCTGTAATCGACCCCGTTCTCGGAGTCTTTCAAGAACAACCGGAAGGCGTGAACATTCAAATTTCGGAGGTCCGTGTCGATGTCCTGGGCTGGCCATCGCACGGACGTCCATTCCCTGTGTTTTTTTCGGTTTCGTGCGTGGCTTTTTCGCCAAGTGATCACGGATGCTCCTCGATGGTCCTCGCCGAAGGAAAAATGCACACGTCCGAGCGATGCCAAGTGGGTCGGCGCCCAGCCGCGCGGAGTACGCCCGGGGGCGGCGCCGGAGGCGCCGCCAGGGGACACCAGCGCCGACCCAAGACGTCCACGCGGACCGCTGAAAGTCTGCGCTCTTCTCTTTCTTTTCATGAAGGACAAGCAGCCTCGAACTGATCCCTATCCCCCAGAGTGGCAAGCCACGAGGTGACGACAATCTCAGGAATGTGCGCCCTCGAAAGCCCAGGGAGGCATTAAGATCGGCATCGAGGTAAGGCGATGCCAAAGATAGGTATGGGGAGAACAAAAAAGAGACACAGACATGAACTTTTGGAGGTCCGCGCGGATTTCTGGGATCCGCGCTGGGCCCCCTCCCCGGCGCGCGAAGCGCGCCAGGGGTGGCGCCGGAGGCGCCGCCAGGGAGAGGGGCCCAGCGCGTTCGTGCCGCGCGTTCGTGCCGCCGCGCCTCGTCGTCGAGCAGGTCCATGATCTTCCCGAAGTCCTCGGGCGGGTGGCAGTGGGGGGTGACCGCAACAGGGGGTGAAGAGAAGGGCCCTCGAGGTGCACTTCAGGGCCCCTTTTGGAGCTGGCAGGGGCCCCAAAGGGGTCCCTTGTCCTCACCCCCCACTCATCGGGGGCGGCCAAGAGGGGGGGGCGTCCAAGAGGGGGGGCGCAAATCATGGTCGGCGGCACGTGCGCGGCACAGGGGGGGGGGGCTGGGGACGTAATGAAATAAGAAGAAGCGCCATGACCCTCCTTTCCCTCCCTAATCCTCACCCTCCTTTTGGCCGCCCCCGAATGTAGGTCACCCTCCAACAACCACTCATTGCACCAGCCTTGCAGACGTGCCGCAGCGGATTTCTGCGTGGATTTATGCGTGGATTTTTGCCCGAAGCGGCGAGCGAAAAACGAAGTGAATTTTGCGTGGATTCTTTGTGGTCATCCTTCCTGGCCAAAATCATCCTCGAAATCTGGAGCAAAATTCTCGAACATAATCGGGGCCCATCCCAAGGTTTTCCGACCGAAAGCCGCCGCTGAGCGATGTTGGCACCCGCCCGAAGTCCTCCGTGAGCACCTCGGTGCCGGCCACGGACTTCACCACCATGCCGCCGGTCACGCCGGCCGCGAACGCCTGGCCCTGGGGGTCCCCGGGGTAGCGGGACACCGGGATCACCTCCGATGGGGAGGAAGAGGAGGAGGAGGAGGAGGAGGAAGAGGATTAGGAGGAGGAGGAGGAGGAGGAGGAGGACGAGGAGGAGGAGGAGGAGGAGGAGGAGGAGGAGGAGGAGGAGGAGGATCACCTCCGATGGGGAGGAGGAGTAGGAGGAGTAGGACGCGCGGCGCTAAGGCGAGAGCCACATCTTGAAAACGACCCGCCCTCGAACTGTGAAGCTGGTGTCGCTCTTAAAGCTTCAGAATCATAAATGGTGAGGAAAACTAAGGCGAAACGCCCGGCCCGCCCTAAAAACTGGCCTAGGGGTGCGACAGGGAGAAGCTATCTATAAGGAAAAGGAATGGAGGAGGAAGAGGAAGAGGAAGAACCCAGATCTCCAGAGATCAGGTTCCTTGATGCCCCGCGGCGTTCCTGGCTCCTTGGTGCCCCGCGGCGTTCCTGGGCTTCTGCCTCCAGGGGCCATGTTCGGCCCCCAGGACCATCAGGAACGGATCCCGGACGGAGAAACATCCCGGGGGAAAGGTCCGGAACCTGGGAGACCGCGGGGTGAAAAGATCACAGCGTCGGGTGCCAGGAGAGGAGTGGTGCATATCAGGGAAAAGGGAAGAGGGTGAAGGAAGAGGAGGAGGAGCAGGAAGGAGCAATACCAGATCTTGAGGAAGAACAAAAAAAAACCTCCCTGGCGGAGCGCGCCAGGGGCGGCGCCAGAGGCGCCGCCAGGGGGGCCCAGGGCGGATCCAAGAAATCCGCCCAGAACGCCCAAAGGTTATGCTTATGCCGTTTTTGCTCTTCGGAGATGAAGACCAAGACGCATCAACGATGCCGGAATCCACGCCACCGTCCCGAGTCCCCTCGTCACAAGTCCCTGCAGGCATTCTTTTTCACGAGCAAGAGCGCCCCATGGAAAGACCAGTGTACCTGCCGTTCGATACCTGCCGTTCGAGCGAACGCCCCGTTCTGAAGAGAGCCTGTCTTGAATCCTTCCAGCGCTAAGCAGGGCTGCGAGCAGCTATGATCATACATATCAAAAAAGCGTCAATCGAAATCCCCGTTTCGAGAAATCAATCCCACATCCGCGCAACTGCTGCGCAGGTTTACGCATCTGGTCAACACATGCGAATATGTAAGGACGTTTCAGGCGTTTCCCATTTTGAAAATGCATACTCATTCCTTGCACATGCTGCATACTTTTGAAGCCTGAGCGAGAGCGCCATTTTAAAAGGAGGTGCGCTTCATCCTTGTAGCTGTTGCAAGCTTTTGAGACGGAGGTGCGCGGCGCTAGTGCGAGACCAACATGTTGAAAACGACCTGTGCTCCATCGGTGTAACTGTTGCAACCTGTCAAGCGAATCTGAACGGAGCGAGCACGACATATCTATCCATTTCTTAAAACGACAACCTCTTCATCCGTGTAACTGTTGCGAATATCAAGCTTCAGGGTCATAACTGTTGAGGGAATATCCAGCGAAACGCCCATCCCGCCCTATCGACACTTCTGGGGGCGCGACGGGAAAATGGAGGATGAGGAGGAGGTGAACAAAAGAAGAAACAGCTGTAGAAACACTAAATGTCGGAGCTCCAGACATTGTATGCTTTCTTCGTGTGAAAGGGGAGGACAAGGAGGAGATAGAACATGATTCTTACAGCGCGTCCCCCATAACAGAGAAATGGCAACCCCAATCACAAACTTTGGAGGATTTTCGACCGGACCCAATTTTGTCGGCCCAATCCTGGGGAATTGGATGGGGAGGCGTCCATCCTCGATAAGGGTGCGCCCGAATAGCCCCCTGGAGATACATCCTAGAGTTCCCCCCCGCTTCTGAACGGCCAAACTCAGACAGCAGAACCTTCTCCCTCACGACAAGCCCCCCTGCAAGCGAGCCTCTTCAGCAGACGCATCCGAGGAAGGAGTCGAAGAGGACAGGGGTGTCCAGGAAACGCCCAGGGCCGTGTCGCAAACGCCAGCTCGGGCGGAACATCGGGATAGGGGGAGAAAAAATCGCCTGCGAGCCCGTGCGCTGACGGCTTCGGGGCGCAGGAGGCGGGCCAAAGCCCTGGGCGACAACACAGAGGTGCTCGCGCCCACACGCAACGGCTGCCGGCTGCCGCGCTGGGAGGAGGAGGAGGAGGAGGAGGAGGAGGAGGAGGAGGAGGAGGAGGAGGAGGAGGAGGAGGAAAGGAGGAGGAGGACAGGAGGAGGAGGAAAGGAGGAGGAGGAGGAGGAAGAGGATCTGGCAGGATCTGGCAGGCCTGATCACCGCAGTTGCGAGGCACGCACCGCGGCGACGAAAGAGAGGCCGCCCCTCACAAGTCGGTTTTGGGGGCGCCACGCATCTGAACCTCACGCCGAGCTGATTCCAGCACTGTAGCTGATGCTCCGTCCAGCGGGAGGTTGTGGTTTGGCCACGGCGCCACCGAGCCTGATTGTCGCTCCTTCGATCCCCAGCGTAGTAGCTAGTGACATTGGGCTCCAACTTCGCCTTCCTCTATCGTATGTAGGGTCGACCGGCACGTCTGGCTAGGATCGGCATCCAGCTTCGCCACCCGCAGGGGGAGTAGGAGGATCGGGGAGGATCAGGGGGAGGGGGAAGTGAGCAGGAAAGCTTGTCAGAAGGCCTCCGGCCGTCTGAAAGGCTCCTGTGCCTTCGGGAAAAGCTTATGACTCGGTGCGAATCTGGAGGAGGCGATGGATGGGGGGGGGGGGGGAGGATGGTGCCCTCTTCGAACCCTGAAGGCACACCCTTCTGGGCCCGAGAGGGCCCCTCCAAGGGCCCTAGAAGGACCCTTTCCGGCAACCCGCGCTGCCTTCCCAGAAGGCCGGGGGGACTTCCGAGACTTCCGAGACGGCCCGCCCCGTCGCACTTCTCCCCTGGGCGCGCCACCGAGAGACGCAAGACTCGGGTTCGGTGGCCCCGGGTTGGCCTGGCGAGGCCGTTGAGCGAAGGGCGAGGCTCAGTCTGACTTCTGACGCGGACTCTCCCTGCTGACAAATACACCCCACGAAAACCGAACCGTCAAAGCCTAGGACGGGCTCGTCAAAAAGGGTGGGCAAACCCGAGCTCCGGCGAACTCGAGTCTTACGCTTCCGGGAGAGGGGGAGGAGCAGGAGGAGGAGGAGGAGCAGGAGGAGGAGGAGGAGGAGGAGGAGGAGGAGGAGGAGGGAGAGGAGGAGGGGGAGGAGGAGGAGGGGGAGGAGGAGGAGGTGGAGTGACCAGAAGTGACCATGGAAGGACGAACGTCCACAAAACAAAACGGGTTGGGCGGGGACTAATCCGAGGATGAGTCCCCGCCATCACGGTGAGGGATCCTGGTGGGTCGACGGGCCGCACCGCCCACACTCCCCTCACCGTGAGACAGCAGAATACTACCCTCCTCCCGAGCCTCCCTCGCACGCTGGACCGCAACCGAAGCATCACGCCGCTCTCTGGCCAGCAGCACCGCCTTCGGGGGTCCCCTGTGCGAGGGAAAAATGCCTCGACGGATCCTGTCGAGGTTCTGGGCTCCTTTGGGGGAGGGCTCCTGGCAAGGTCTTGCGAGCCACCTACCATCGACGGTGGCGGTGAGCCCGCAACAAACACAAAAATGCAAGGAAAACTCAGGCCAGTAGAAGATTTTGTGGGACGAGTGGGCCGAGGTGGCCCCTATCAAAATCTCACCAGTTCTCAAGACGAATTGGCTCCACTCCGACTTATGGCCTCGGACCTCGGGGGCCAGACCTGGACAAGACAGGGCACAAAACTTGAGAAGCTGGGTGGAGGCCACAATCTGGCTGCACACTCTACAACGCCACCTGTTCCCGACCTGCTCACAATTGTGAGAGGTGTCCCTCAGGGCGACGGCCTTCCTGGAGGGGGGGGGCACCCGCACTTTGGCGAGCCTGGTGGCTTGCCAGGGGTCGACCTGGAGTGAGCAGATCAACGCGCGTCTGGCCCTGCGCCTGACAAGATGGGCGATGCAATCATAGATGTCCGTGCTGGGGGCTGGCTGACGAATATACTGGAACAAGGCGTCGTCCGCCGCTCTCCCCGCAAGTTCGTCCGCGCACATATTGCCCGAAGTGAGGAAGACTTGCCACGCACTGAGAGCCTTGCCAGAGTCCTCAAGATGGGCAGCCGTCCACACGACCTGTATTTCAGCCTCCCCCCGCTTCCGCAACGCCACCGCCACCCTGAACCACAAGTCCTGATTCGGGCCTAACCTGCCGTGGGCACGACCCGCTCTCCAACCATCCAGGACTGGCTGGCAATCAGTGACATAAATGATGGGACCCGTGGTTTCTTCCAGGGCAATGGCGAGCGCAGCTATCTCCGCGCGCGACACGGTCTGTCGCGGCCCCAGGAGGGGGGACGAAACTCCCGCGGCGGGCTCCCAGGAGCCATCCTCAGTCCTCCGAATGAGGGCAACTCCAGAACCGCATCGCCTGCGTCTCGGGTCGCTGCTGTACTTGCCACCTGACCCATCTCCAAAGATGTGGGGAGGGTCCTGGCCAGGGGCAACACAAAACTCACTGAGGCGAGAGGAGCCGTAGTACGTAAGGGGAGGGGCCTCAAGGGGGTCAAGGAAGACGGGGCAAGTGAGGTCTCTCGACGGCACTCCTCTCAGCCATAAAGAAGGGTCTGCTTCCCATTGCGCCGTGGCCTGGGAAACGAGTGTTTGCGTGCTGCTAAAATCCTGGTGATCAACATTACACACGCATTGCCATATTCTGTGAAACAGGGTCTCAGGGGCCGCCTTACATCTTGGGCAAGTGACGTCAACCGTGTAGCCACAGTCGACTTGGCGCTGACGTGGCCATTGGCCCCCCGAGGCCACGCGCAAGGTGAGGGCCCAAAGATCCGACTGGCCCCGAGACTCGAAACGGCGGAGTTCCTGTTGCAGTGGAAGGAGGTCGGCTCCTTCCTTCAAACTGTCGCCTGCCTCGTGCCCTGCAGCACCTTGCCACAACTTGGCCTTCATGTCAGAAACGAACTCATGCAACAGGTCTGCATGGTCAGTCATCGG